AAATTGGATATCTAAGCACTACCTGTCCAACAAGTCAAAAAAATTAGCATGTTGATCAAAAAATACCATCCCTAAGTGAACCCCCAGTTCTCACTGAAAAAGGGATGTCTGATGATGTCACCAGGGAATTCCTCTAGGACTCAAAGGGCCCTCTTTTTCCAGGTTCAGGCAAGACTTGAGTCTCCAGTGGCCCGGAGCAGGCAGGAGGGGGAAGGCAAGGCCAACTCTGAGAAAGAGAACACATGGAGGGCAAACCAGGGAGACCAGAAAGGGCTGATAAAGACTGGACTCAAACCCAGGCCATGGACCCAGCCCCAACGTCCGCTCTGAAGAGCAGCACTTTAGCTCACTTGAACCGTGCCTGGCTTCAGGGTGGGCCACACAGCCGTCTAAACTCTGGAAACTGAAGACTGTCTATTTTAGGCAGAATAAGAAGAAATAGGGTCAAGACAACATAAGAGAGTAAAGAAAATGGGAGTATGCTTAATTCTCTGGTTTGAAAATACTGAATTGGTCTGTGCAAATGTGTCCATGCCTGTGTATGTGTGGGCGTGTGTGTGTGTCTGTGTCCAGCATGTCCCATAAATCTTGGTAAAGGCTTTCTAACTTCAGAAGTAGAAATGCTACTAACATAAAACACATTATTGGGAGGTTTAACTACTTAAATTTTTATTATGCTTATGTTAAATAAATGAATAGTTTGAATTTTTGGGTGAGTCGTTCTGAGTGAAGATGGCAAAGGTTGATGGAAATAATAACAACAGTAATATTCAAAAAGATGTAAGTATAAAATAAACTGGGACTTCCAGATTTACGAAACTAAAAACTTGTTATGTGGACAAATGGAGTTGAGATTTGCACGACATGGATGAACCTGGAGGGCGTTATGCTCAATCAAACAAGCCGGACAGAGAAACACAGATACTGCCTGGGGTCACTTACATGTGAACTGTAAAACAATAAAAGAAAGGTCAATTCACAGAAACAGAGAGAAGAAAAGTGGTGGCCAGTGGCTGTGGAATGGGAGGAAGAGGGAGAGACAGGTAAGAGGGGACAAACTTTGAGCTCTGAGATCAAGAAGCTCTGAGGATCTCATGTCTGACTTGGTGACTAGAGTCGAGAACACTGAATTGTACAATTGAAATCAGCTAAGAGAACAGCACTTCAGTCTCCTCACACACACACACAGTCAATAAGTGAGGTGAAAACCACAATCAGAGTTGAGGACAGAGGAGAATCAGGGTATGAATCCCTGGGAACAAGCCCAAATTGCCAGGAGAACTTCAGACTTTCAAAGGCCATGAGATAGGTGGGTTGAAAGCAAGAATCCAGGAGACTCAAGGAACCGGGTGACATCTGGCTTCCAGGTGGAAGGAATAGAAAACTACCCAAGGTCTAGAAGGCCCAGGAGGGTGGAGGGAGGCAGTTGTAGGCCAGTTGGTGGGGGAGGGGCTGTGGTCAAATCTGCTTCCCTGCTGTCCCCTCCCCCCCTCAGGAGCCCTTGTGACACCGCCACAGTTCCATGATAAGGGCATGGGGTTCTAATCTCCAAGTCACTCCCAGTCCTCAGTTGCCTGAGAGTAGAACTGTATTTGAGATATGGAAACTCCTATCTTATATCTAAAAACCATTGTTGCTACCTAGTTGAGCTCCAGTTCCGCTTCCTGGGTGATTGGGACCATCCTCTGCATCCTGTATGGACTGGGGCTCTTCCTCCTGTTCTTCCCCTCCCCCAGAAGGAATTTGCCCTCACAACCAACTTACAAAAGGAGAAACGTCAGGAAAGTAAGAAATCCTGGACCGAGACCCACCAGAAGATGAGTCTCCCTTCTTTTTTACTATGATTTCCCCTTCTCTGAATCAACTAAAGGGACTCCAGGGATGGGAAACAATAGAACATCATCCTTCTAGGGACAAGCCAGGCTAGGTTGGCAGGGGTGAGGGTGGGCACAAAGATTTCCATCCAAAGATCTCGGAGCAGGAGTCCTGGTGTGGCAGAGGGCTCCAGGGAAAGTCCCCAGGCCAGTGACCAGTGGCCAAGGATGGGATGCTGATTAGGATCTGTGGGAAGATAGGCCCTGAGCGCTTGTTCCCCAGCTGCCTTCCTGGGGCAGGTGTCTCAGGTGGGCCTTTCCTCTATTGTGGCTCATCTGAGGGCAGTGATGAGCCCCCGAGAGCCTCTGAGCAGGACCTGGAGTGGGGCTGTGGCCTCAGGAAACAAAGTCCTCATGAGGAACCTCATAAGATTTCATACATCTGAGAATGTGCACGTTTCTTAACAGAGAAACAGTGAGAGAAGATCCATGCTGGTCCCACATGGGGACCTTCTTATGATCCCCAAAGAAGGAAGACAGCAAATGTCCATTTTGTGTTCAATTATCCATTTCAAAAGTAAGTAAAAGGGAAGAAACACCCCAGAGCCCCAGGACTTCAGTGTAGACAGTCATCTTCCTCACAAATGCTGTACGTCTGCAGCTGGTCCAGAGACAGAAGAGGGAGCCTTGGGTCTCTGCCCCCACAGTTTCTTGTTTTTTTCTCTCATTTCAGCGTCAAGTGAAGCTGAGAAGGAGGAGCAGCAGGAGCAGGAAGAAAAGGGGAGCTTTGAACGGTAAGCTTCTGCCATTCAGCACTGTGCCCCAGAGCTGGCCTCCATCTCCTGTCCCTGAGCGCCCAGCTCCATGGGCTCGAGGATGCCAGGGGCAGAGCCTGTCCCTCAGGAAACAGAGCCCTCAGGGAAGCTCCCAGGAAGGAGATGAAAACCTGAGTACTTGCCAGATTCTGTGCTGGAAAGTAAGGCCCAGGCCAGCAGGCATCTGCAATAGGGTGTTGCTCAGCAGGGGCATGTGGGCTGTGGTGGAGGTTGAAGCACTTGGTCAGTGACAAACCTCAACCCTCCAGCAGCTTTGCCATCCCCATCAGGGATCCCGTGGCCTTAGACACTAGTGTCTGGGCTCCAGAGTCTGACCTCAAACACTCTCCCCTAAAGGCACATTGCACCCAGCATCCTGTAAGAGCCCTAGGCCCCTGCCTTCATCGCTGTGACCCAGTGTCCTAATCTCTAGCTTACAGAGCTGGCCAGAAGGACCTGGCAGAAGTGGGGGGCCTGATGTCCCTTTTGCAAAGGTAAGGAATCTTGCCCTTCTCTCCTGTGCTTCTTCCTTGCAGAGTCTCTGATGTACCCCAGGGCTGCAGGAAGTTTGGGGCTGAGCTGGGAGGGGAGCCATGGGGCAGGGGCTGGCAAGAGGCCTGGGGTGAGGGACAGCAGGAGAATTCGGTGAAGTGAAGGTAAGGCCAGGGAGGGCCATGGGTCTCAAGGGGCCTCCCCCCGGCCAACACTGCAGTCCCAGGGCCCTCTGTTCATGGCTACAGCTTGTGCATCTTGTTTCCCACAGCTCCCTGGGGAGGCTGTCTTGTAAGGGATGCTTCCATCGCTTGTCATCTCAAGATTCTCCTGGGGAGGCATGCAAGACAGCATCTGCTAGAGTTCACCAGCCATGCGGGAAGCCTGTGGAAGGTGTTCCTCTCACCATGAATCCAGCACTTTCCCTGGCTCTTCTGACCCAGCCCACTCTACCTTTGGCCTCCACTCTGCCAGCAGAACCTCCATCTGCCTTGACCAGAACTCCATTAGGCCCTTTTGCCACGAGCTCAGCTCTAGCTCACTCCTGTTTCCATCTACCAACTCAGGCCGCAGCCGCACGAGCTGTAGCATTGGGTTCCTCAGCAAATCTATGAATTATCCTTTTGTTGGTTTGAGTCAAGGGTGGAGGAAATGTCCTGTAGAAAGTTCCAACCATGCCAGGTCTTCGTTTTCTTACTGGACATGGGCTAGTTTAGGAGCATCATGTGATGGAGCATAAAGGGTGGACTTTGAGGACAACCGGGTCTGGGGCTGAACACAAGCTTAGCCATTTGTGAACTGCCTGATCTAAGACATGTTCTTAACCATTCTGAATTTCAGTTTCTCAATCCAGGTAAAGAAAATAATAAGATTTACCAGTAGGAGTTATAGGACTTAGTTTCTTTTCTGGTTCTCTGATCTACTCTGTAATTTTGGCAAGTCGTGTGACCTCTTCAGGCCTACTTATCTTTGAGAGAAAATGAAGGTCTTAGTGGTTCTCCATAGGAATATGATTTTCTCCCACCCGGGGGCATCTGAAAGTGTGTGTGGTGTTTTTTGATTGTCATGAAACTAAGGGAATCAAGAACGTAAATTGCTCTGTAAGGGGGAGGACAGTCCCATACAACAGAGAATTGTTCCATCAGAAAATCAACGTAGCCCTGTTGTGAAACCCAATTAGAACATCTCTGAAGTCTTTGTCACCTTAACATTTCATCATTTTACTCTATGTCATTGTTTCCTTACAATTATGATGGATGAACTAGATAATTAAATGCTATGAGCCACCCTGCCACACATGAGCATGTTTATCAAAATGAAGGATGGTGGAATAAAGAACTGGCTTTTTTTGGGTTGGAGTAAAGGGCTCAAGGCAAGTCTCAGAGCGTGTGAGACAGAAGCTTCCCTGGAAGTAGTTCCTAAAGTGCTCACTATGGAAAGTAAAGGAAACCTATATTTCATGAGCAGAGTTGCAGGTAATCTGTCATGGGTTACCCCACTAATCCACACAGCAATCCTATGTGATGTGTCCTATTTTCCTCATTTTACAGATGAAATCTACTCATAGCTCCAGCGATTTTTTTTTTTTCCAATCTGGGTGACTTGAATTGTGTGTGTGTGTGTGTATTTCAAAAGACATGGAAAAGTACAACATAGAGAATAGATTAAAATGCTACACATTGTTCTGGGTACCCCAATCTGCTTTATGTCACAGGGCCAGCACCCTCAACACACATGTGGGTTCTGAACACCTCCACTTGTCAGCATCCAGGCCTAACTGACCTGAGGCCTTGGAGAAAAGAGAACATCTTTCCTCTGCCTCTGCTAAGAGCCACCTCTTATGCTCCCACCTCCTTCCCTGGGACTGACCTCTTTCCAGGACGACTGGTGGTCAGACTGTCCATTCCTTTTAGGGGAAACTCCAACCTCCACCCCCCAGGAGTGTAGTTTTGTTCTTTAGCCCCAAAAGATGTCAGAACACATTTCTATATCAGCAGGTTTGCCAAGTAGGTTATTCAATCTTTAATAACACCATGTGGGGTCAGCCACAATCCCATCCATGTCCCTTTGCTCCAAGCAAAGTTCCTTGGCTCTGTCTCTGCTCCAGCATAAGGAAAGAGAAGATTGTGGCTTGTGTATATTCCCAGACTCTTTGGGATCTCTGCTCCTGACCTGGGAGCAAGAATACATATTGTTCCAGTGTTTGGAGCAGTGACATGCAAAACATCATGGTCCAGATGTGGACCTAGAAAAGCCCCACTGAAACAAAGATAACGGGTGGTAAGACAGCTCTGCCCACAGTGATGGTCCTTGTGTACATAATTAGACAAATGGTTTAGTTTATAACTCTCCATTCCAGAAGAGGATCTTCGCTCCACCTTTCTTTACTAAAGCCTGTTGTGACTAGTTCCCCCAGAACAAAGGAACAGCCAACTCAACAAATTAAAACTCAGGAGACTGAAAACAACAAGTTTTTCGAGTTTCAGCTCACCAAGTGTTCAAATTTTGGAGTATAATATCAGTCAAGATCATTTGTTACAATCCCACAAACACACACTGATTGCCTGTTAAGTGCCAGGTACAATGCCAAGTCTTAAAAGACAAAAATAATTATGAAAAAAGGACTCCAGACTCAGGAATAAACATGTATAGAAACTCAGTCACAAGATCCTGATAAACACACTCTAGCAACAAAACTTTACTGCTATATACCTCTTTGTCAAGCCCAAGAGTGCTGATCCCAGTAAACCCAAGCCATCCCTGATAGGCATACTTAGAAAAAGAGGAATGGGGTGGAAGTGGGATAGTTGAAAATAGAAAATGAAGGTAAATAGTAGAGCATTTCTGCAATGAAGCCACAGGAAGATAAAGGAAGCTGAGAGAAGGCTACTTCCTTAGGATTGTACTCTGGGATCGTACAGAAGCAAGGGACTGAGACATCCATAAGAAGGCTTGACAGCCAGGGCTGAGCAGAGACACAAGGCGCCCTGGGAAGGCTGACAGTGTAGCACTTCTTCAGACCAATGTTATTTTTAAAAATGTCTCAACATGTATTTAGTGAAGTTAGGGTTAGGGGCTTTTTATTAGTGAAAGTGCATATAATTCCTCCTCCTCCTCAAACTCCTCCTCCTGCTCTTTCTTCTGCTTTCCTTGTCAAATAATTCAGTCCTAAAGTTATCTGGTGAGGCAGGACAAGGTAGGCTTTCTCACCATTGGGGGGAAGAGCCATAATAGCCCCAAGCAGGGTATCAGAGCTCACAAGGAGAACACAGTGTCACACATGGGAACAGCCCAGTAGGACACATCAGAGCTCTAGCATGAGGAGGAGGGCGCCCCCACAGGGGATGCCCCAGGTAGGGCGTTGGGGCAAGGGTGAGAGGATGTCTTTGTGGAAAGGCAGCCTGGCAAGGGCTGTCAGCACTCTGGGACTAAGGAGGGCATCTGGGCAGAGGAAAGGATGGCAGCAGAGATGCTAGATTGGTTACATACAAGAGGGTTGATCAAAAGAGGAAATAAAATAAAGATAATGGAGCCAGGCTTCTCATGCAGAAGAGAGGTACACATATGGGAAGGAATGCCTGAACCCTATAGTGATGGATTGGTATTGGAAGTATTGGTGTGAAGTCATGGTTCTCAATAGATATAGGTAGAGAAATATAGACATAAGTGTGTTTGTATACATACATATATCAAGAGGGAGAGAATCCATCCACCAAAAAGGCCTGGGAGCAACAATACACCAGTAGCAATGAGCACACATGGCACCCAGATGTTGAGTGCTAAACACCATTCTCCACTCAAAGGAACCAGGGCTCCTTG